GCCCGACGTGCATCTCCTTCGCTATGTTCGGCGCCGAGTAGTCGATCACAACCCGATTGTTGGCGCTCTTGTCGGCCAACGATTGGACGCGAACGCCATTCGTCACCACATTTAAGATGGATTTCGAGACAAACTCTTTGTTGAGCGTAATGTTGATGAATCCGGCCCTCGCGACCGCCACTTCGCCCATCATTGGGTTCGGCGGCAGGTGTTTGATGAGAGTGTTGGCCACATCCAGAGGGTTGAGGCGCTTATCGCCGCCGATGTATTTACTCAATGGCAGAGCACTGTTGCACTGGTAGTCCGCGTGATCTGAACGCGTCACCAGAAGTGGTGCGTTCGTGAGCTGCGGATACGCCTCTCGGATAGCGGTTCCAAACAGTTTCTTAATTGAATGCAAAACACTATTCATTGCTGTCTTGTCTTCAATCAAGTTTGCGGAAAACGATTGGCTTTTAGCGCTCTTCGGCTCTAAATTGGGTTCAGAAACAAGAGATCAATAATGAATCAAATGGACAATCGCTTTGACACAAACCATCGGTCGTGGGATTGGCTGATGACTGCATTTGTCGCTTCTTCTCGTCGTCGATGGAGTTCTTCAATACACTTAACCTAAACTTGAGTTTTGTATTTTCGGTCCGAAGTTCACTCAATTCGGCTGAAAATGAATGCAATTATAATGAGAGTTAACACATGTGTCGGCAATATGTGTGACCAATAATAATGCGCTCACGGATTGAATCAAATGGTTGGCAATCGGTGTCCAATTGAGACAATTGTCTGAATCTGGTCTCCAATTCGGTTAGTTTTCTCTCCAATAAGTTTTGCTCATTAAATGATTTTTCCATTATTTATATTCAATTCAGTATTGATTTCAAACACCTATTGATTATTGCATTCACTAATAAATTAACGTTTTATCGCAATTACCACTACATATGCAACCATACGGTCAACGCATGCGCACAACACACCACAGCCAACGCACATGTGTTTTATAGCGCTATTC